CTCCGCGCGGTCGGCGCATTCGAAGTGCGTCGGATCACCAAATGGGTCGAAATAATCTCCACTCGAGGACGTAACTTAGGCAAATTTTGCTACAAAATAACAGTCGAGCGCAAGCGTGACTCGAGGACGTAACTTAAGCAAATTTCTCCATAAATAACAGCCGAGCGCAAGCATGCCCTGAGGACATAACTTAGGTGAATTTCATCACGATATAAAAACCTAGGCACGAGCAAATTTAAAGGTCGAAATAAACATCCATTTAAAAGCTCATAAGCAAAAAAAAAACAAAAAAAAACAAATCGACCAAGAAGGCCAGCGATGTTCAGAAATTACAGGCTATGGCACGACGGCCGAAAGAAATTTGTACGGGCACGCAGGGCCCAAAAATATGCACGGGCACGCAGGCCCCAAAACAACTACCAATAAATGGGCGCGCAGGCCCCAAAACAACTACCAATAAATGGGCGCGCAGGCCCGACCAGAATCCCACGGCTAGACTTCCCCGGGGCTACCATCATCCACGACATGAGACTCAAGAGGAGGCACGACCTGGCCGTCGATGATCTGGGACATGAAACCCACTCCCTCGGTATTCATGCCCGGATTCAATAAAGTGAGCTGGCTAACCGCGACCTCAAAACCATCTGCTAAGGCACCAACACAGTCTGTTTCGAGAAGATGGATGCGCGCGACCAGATCCGAACAACTCCACAAGGGGGCTATCTCCTCCGACTCATCTTCAGCAGGAAGCATGAAGGCCTTCAGATCCTCGACTTCCTTAGACAGATGCTCGTTGTCGGCCTCTAAGCGTTCCCGGTCCAGTCGAAAACAATCCCTCTCCTCAACAACCTTTCCCGAGTTTTCCTTCTCCATGGCCAGCAACTCGGCTTGCTCGCGGAACATCTCCTCAGATTGCTCCAGAGCAGCCTTTAACTTACGAGAGCCGGCGACGAGGGAATATTTCTCCAACTCCAGTTCCCTGACGCGGTCAGAGGAGTCTGACCCCTCCTCAGCAAGGACAACGGCCATCTCGACCATCTTAACCATCCCGACCATACTGGCGGCCAGGTGTTTTCTTCGACTCTCCTTGTTGAGCCGTCTGATGGTCTCAGCCTCCTCGGCACTCACTGTCAAGGGAAACCCCTCGAAGAAACCTTCCTTTTTAAAACAGGGGGGCAAGCCAAAGGCCCTCACTGCGACAGACTCGTCGCCAACTTCTGACTGGTTCTCTGCCCGGCTTCTCTTTCTCGTTATCAGCTCGGGGGGTTGCTCGACATCAGGGGAACCCTGGGACCCGCTGGAAGCATCGCCTGAACTGGTTGGCAGGCCCATCCTCGTGGCCTGTGGAGCTCGCACTAACCTTCTGTTTATTCTCGTGTCCTGAGTCAATTTTAAAAGCCTCTCCCTTCGTTCAGCCATATTGCCTGCAAAGAAGAAAACTCGGGTTAGTTACGAGCAAGTAACAAACAAAGAAACTAGAACAAAACTATAAGACAAAAGGCAACCTAGTGGATCTACGACATGCCCGTAGGATTGAAACTCGACAAGCGTCTTGGTATCGATAGGACGGGCCTCGAATGTCGGGTAACCCTCCTCGTCGAAAATGTCTTCCCCCTCCCTCGTGACCCACTGGGTAGGGAAGAAGTTGTCGACATACTTACAAAGGGTACCATAGACTTCCTCATCCTCGGCACTCATTCCTCCCGCGGGCGTATGGTAGTGCCCGGTACCATGCTCGTAATGGCGCGAGCACTAATGCAACGGGAACTTGGATACACGCCCCACAACCGGGCGACCCTCATCGTCCATAAGAGGCTCCCCGTTCTTGTCGGCCACTGCGGTTTCCTCTTCATACATAGAATCCAAAGCAGTCTGGGTGACCGGCTGCAGGACGTACCATTTGTCCTTGAAACCCCAGACCGAATCCATGTACATCTTGAACAACCTCTTCGACTGTTTCAGGGAAACCCAGCTATGCTTGCCTCCTCGAGACTGGCGTTGCAGGTGAAAAACTCTGAAGAAGAGAGGAATGGTCGCCCCGATCCTTAAGAAGCGACATGTCAGCTCGAACGCCCGAAGAAAGGCGATCGAATTGGGGTGAAGCTGCGAGGGGGACAAGTCCATATGGCAGAATACCCCGACCTAGAAATCACTGAAAGGGAGCTTAAGGCCGAGGTCCTTGAACGCGATTTCATACATTGGAAACCCATACTCGGAGAACTCCGAGCAGATTCGCGCGTCGAGGGACGGCCTTGTCACAATAAAGTTCTTCTGGAAGCCCGACTGACTACCGCCGTGTTCGACGACAGTGTATGCGCGCCGACTACGCCGACTATATGCCGAGGCAATCCCTTGGGGCTCGGCGCCCACCCAATCCAACGAAGGATCATCGACGGTATCAACAAGAGTTACATTCTCCTCGGCGCTCTGGTCCTCGATCTCATTACGCCCCGAAGACTCCAGCTCGTCAGCCATTTACCTGCAAAGCACAGGAAACCGGTGAAATTCGAGAGAAAATCCATATGCTCGCCATAACTGACGGGAAGTAGTGCACGACAAGCCAAGACACACTCCGCGCGCGATAAAACATTGGGGACTCGAACAAGATCCTGGTTTCGCCTCCCCGATGCTAAGGTGCCACGACGAGTTGTCCTACGTACTTCCTAAGGGGTCAACATCCCGGCCAGCTCATGGGTGCGCCGACCTAAACTATAAATTTGACGAGCAATATCATGAGTCCTAAACCTAGAACTATGGGTTTACCGGGCAGTATCACAGATTATGCGTCCAAAACCATGAAGGTCCCGGGTAGCATCGCGAGTCAAATACATAAAGCTATGGGTTTACCGGGTACAAACATGAAGGTACCGGGCACATATATGAATGTACCGGGCACTAATCCCAGATGTGAGCTTCTAACATCCAAATAACGGTAAAATTACCTACAAACAAAGAAAAATATGAGGGATAAACGCTTACTTGGAAGTAAAGAAGAATGTACGGCAACGGTGAAAGAAATCAACGGAGGAAGAAGCGGTAATCTTGTGAAGTTGTAGAAGAACATCGACGGTAAAGGCAGAGGAAGAAGGAGAAGCGCGAAGAAGAAAAACAAATTATGGGACCCAAGGATCCTATTTATAGGGATGACGTGGAATACGAAACATCGTCCCGGGGAACCACAAACTCCCCTCCTCGACGCCTACTCCCCTAAGCAATGATGACCCTACTGTCACTAGGGTGGCGTCACAGTTCCAAAGGGTTGCCTCGTGTGCCCAACGAACACAGTCCGTGAGGAATCCCCCGAGCACGCGTCGACGAGGATTACCCCACGAATACAACTCATAAGAAACTTCTCGAGCAATCACGAGGAAGCAAATAGCCTGGGTCGGGCATCGGACCCCGTGGCAAAGGCGAGCTGAAGTCAAGTCATAGCTCCTGCTCCAAAAGCCACGACTTGGGGGGCTCCTGTTCTGGACTGGGCCCGCCCTGGCCCAAAAGCAAAGACAAAGGCCCAATCCAAGCAGCTCCTTGAGGGACGCGCGCCCGCGGATCCCTGCCAGCGCGCCCAACACAAACCACAGTCGTGCCTGCCGTTGCCCGGACACATGGTGTCCTCGACCACGGGAACTCCAGCTCGAGCCCAGCTCGAGCACCCTCATCGTAGGGTAGATTCTGACAGTTACCAAATTATCTGAAATACGGAAAGACCGTATCTTCGTCCCTCCTCATTTCTCGGAGAGCATCACCAGGAAGGGGGCCATGTGCGAGTCCCCACTACACACGTAGAACCTGGCAGTTCCTTTGTTGGGTCAAATCTGGTCGGCCCAATGAGGGGACCTTGGCCCCGTGCTGGGGGCTATAAATACCCTATGTTCCTAGAGGGTCAGGTATTCATCTCTTACGCATACATACATTTTTTGCCTGCTCATTCCGTCACTCATTTTAGCATCAGAGTGCCTTGGAGGTACCCCCCCCCCCCATCTCACTCAAATTCTGCCCAGAGTCAGTCGTGACGGTCCAAGTCTGATCAGGTAAGATCAATAATCATTTTAGTTAATAAATACGTAACATTGTTACAATAAATAAATCAAAATTTCAAACGTATGATGGATGATGAGGGGCATCAACGTTAGGTTAACATTAGGTAATGTTAACATTAGGTTAAGGGTAATAACATAAATGAGAGAGAATCCAATATCATTTAAAATTTTAAAATATTAAATTTAGAATCTTCTCATTTATAAAATACTTGCTCCCTTTTATAATGAGTTATCTATTTAGAGTAAAATAGTTTTTTAAAACTAGTCTAAAGTAAATGATCCATTTTATTTTTTTAATTTTATTTTCTAATAAATTAAATTTTCATCATTTTCAATATATGATTATGGATACTATAGTAAACACATTACTCTCTCTTACTTTTCTATATTTTTCTTGATATATGTGAAATAGTCTGTTAGATTATTAATTGTGAAACAAAAGGAATACTCAATTTTCATTTCTTAAAATAATGTGAAACTTCTAACTCACAATTATGTATATCATAATAGTCTCTTTCAATTGAGTTAATCCACTTATATATTTTTTTTCTTTCAAGAAGCTTATTGTTAACCTACCAACTTCAACACCATCACATCTAATGTGAGTATACATTAAATGTTCATTGTTATCATATTAAATATATTTAGATCTCAATTTGAGACTTCAAACAAATTCTAATAACACAACTATCAATTTCATTCGCAAAAACGCAAAAAAATAATAATTATAAGTTTAAAACCTTTATCCGCCCCATAAAAAATAGAAATAAAACAAGATGTTGGATGGTTTTTGTACTTAGTCCTTAATAACCTGGAATACTTAGTTGTAATTTTAGAAAAGAGGTTAACATCCTCCGATTAAATGTTAAACCAATAAAATGAAGACAGATGTGAAGTAAATTAAGATAAAAAAGATAAAAAGCATAAAGAATAGGTGGAGTCCACAATGAATAGCATCAAATGCTTATTGGGAGTCGCACTGTTGCTGAATTCCAAGATCCACACCACAGCCATCCATTATTACTTCTCTTTTATTTTATTATTCAAACTTCATTTTCCCTTTTCCCTTTCTCTGCTTCCCTATTGGTACAATTCCAACCCATCTCTTGTCTCTCTCTCTTACAAAGAGAGAGAGAGAATATGTGTCACAAAGCAAAGCAACTCGCAAAGTAGCAAATGCCAAATTATACTAGTAATACCAATATCAAATACCATTCTTGTGTAATAGCTTTCCCATTCTTGTATAGTGAGAAACAAAAACGAATAACCATCCATTAAGCTCAACTTGCCCTTTAATCGCAAAGTTGCTGCTACTACGCCTGCATATGCAAAAAGGTTTCTCTCTCTCTCTTTCTTATTCTTCTGTTATCACACGTTTGATTTTGCTGTTATTAGGGATTTTATCATTCAATACTGATTTTATTTTTTCTCGGTTGTTCTCTATTTTTCCAGCCTCTTCAATTTTGAGCTAAAGTTTGGATTTTTAAGAGTTTTTGATTGTGGGGTTCTTCTTATTTCATCTGGGTCATCAGCAAATTTGTTTTATCAGCTATGGTTGTTTGAATAGAATCTAAAGTAAAGATTTTGATCTTGGTTGGTTGATTGGAGTTGGATACAGTGAGTCAGTGAATTTGGTGAAGGGTTTTTGCTTTTTTTGTTTTGTTCGGGAATGGTGGTTGGTACTGTTTGTGGCTTATAGGAAATTGTTAGATAGAGATGGAGGCAGAGTCAAATAGAGGGTTTTGTAATGAAGATATAAATTCATCTATGAGTAGACATGCAATATCATTTCAGCATGGTGCTATGAATTATAGTATGTCAGAGATGGTTCCAATGGGTAATTATTTTGGGTTAAATAGTAGTTCATCTGGTATGATGTATTCTGGAAATTCATCTTTCATCAACAACACCAACCCTGTTGTAAGTCCACAAGCTGGTGGCTCTTCTCTTCTTCTTGATTCTGTACCAGGGTTGAAGCATGACACAGGCTTGGCTGTTGAGTGGTCTCTTGATGAACAGTACAGATTGGAGGAAGGCCTTGCCAAGTAAGTCATTGGTTTTGATTTTATGCATTTATTAGCCGAGAGCCGTCTCAAGTACCCGTCTTGCACGCTTTCAAATATGACTTTGATTAGCATTTATGTCTCTTGCACGCTTTCAAAGATGACTTTGATTAGCATTTATGTCTTACCTATGAAATATTTGATTGGCTTCTTCATATTTGAATTACTTCCGTTTTAGTAATGCCTATGCTTAATTTGTTTTATAGGTGTGAAGAATGATATTTCTTTCTCATTGTGTAAATTATATTTTATGACCCATTTAATTTCGTGATTGTTATATTTCATGACTAGTTATGCTAACGAGCCGAGTATTATGAAGTACATCAAAATTGCTGCTGCGTTGCCTGATAAAACGGTTCGCGATGTTGCGTTGAGGTGTAGGTGGTTGACAGTAAGCTCTTTTACTTTCAACAATTTTCCCATTGTCCATAGTTTATTGATGCCTTTGAATGATACATGTGCTTTGTGCCTTAGTCCAGAAGTAAATTTTAAATTCTAAATGCATAAAGTTGCTTGAACATGTTGCGAAAAACTACTCGAAAGTTGAATATGCGTAGTGGAACTTCCACTTTGAGTCCAGTACAGAAGAAACTTTTAAATCTTAAAAGCATTAAAGTTACTTGAACATGTTGCAATTATTAACTACTTGAAAATTGAATATGCATAGTGGAACTTCCACTTTCTAAAGCATTCACAATAAATCTTTTTTGTTTCATACACACCACTTCCTCCTATGGCCCTAGGTTTGCATTGTAGTAATGGCTCGTGTTTTGCATTGTTGCGTAGCTTAAGTGTTGTATAAGTTATGGTTATATCAGATGTTAAAGACAATGTTTTAGGTTTTGGTTATTATCATAGCAATTCTAGAAGTTGCAGAAAAATGTAGATTTTCACCTCTATGCCTGTTTATGGAATCTTAAAATACTGTTTAAACCATTTTTGCAGCGAAAGCGAAGGAAACCAGATGAGCATTGTTTGGGAAAGAAGATCAATTACAGAAAAGTATGTGAAGTTTTGGAAGCTTCTGTTCACATGCTATTTTTCTTATAATGTAGTGTTTGTCGAAGAGTTGTTTGGTTACTCTAGAATGATTCTTACGGATTCTCTACGTGATGTTTTTAAGTAGGTTTTGAATTTCAAATATATTTCTATAAAAAAGTTCAAATATATTTCACCTATAAGTTTTAAGAGTTACTAAAAACTCCTTTTAAACAAAATGAAAGATCGAAAAATAAAAATTCTATCTTAATGTTGGTTACTTGAGTTGATTGAAGTAATTTTCCTCGTGTTTTCAAAATGCCTGTATAATTGATTCAATATATCAATGTTGTTGACCTGATTAGTATTGTTGATAAAATCATTTGCCTTGAGTCTTCTCGACGTGCTTGTCAAGGACATTGATGATACTCAAATGCTATGTTAATAACAAATATGATTATGTTGCATCCCATAAACGGGATTCCATTTTTGATATATTGAATCAATTAATGTCTTTAGGATCTAATGTTGATTGAAGAACCAGTATTCTAAAGTCATGCTTCTTCAGGATAAGTTGGTGGAGTTAGCATCGCATACAAATTTGCATTCGGCATTGCCCCCAAGCATGAGTTCATATTCTCCCATGTCACGCCCTATGGAACAAAGTCAACGGATACTATATGATGGTTAGTATATCTATTTTTCTTCAATTATATATTCCTTATTTCTCGGCTGTTACGACTGAAATTTAGCGCTCTTGTGTTAACAAATTTCAAGTGTTTACATTGTGTCGTTTTTATAACTGGAACCAATTCCGCATTTCAGTTAATACTTGTGTATGTTCAGGAATTTGTGGGCCTATGAAGCAACTCATGGAGCAGAATGCTCAAGTTTTTAATCAAATCACGGCCAATTTATCGACGTACAAGGTGAAAAGCTCAATCATATGCTTTGATGAATTTCCAAATTTTCCTCTTTGATTATAGTTTGAGTATTGTTTGATGCTGTGATAATGATCATGTTCTTTTATAAACAGTTGCAGGATAACATCGACCTCTTTTGCCACACGAGGCACAATATTAATACGATTCTAAACGAGTACGTGAATTTTCAATGAAGTTTACTGTTATATCATACATTCATACATATTCATCTTTAGTATTTGGTTTTTACGTCTTTAAACTTTATGCAGCATGAGTGGGATGCCTGGCATTATGAGCCAAATGCCGCCACTGCCTGTTGCCATTAACGAGGATCTCGCAAGAAGTATTTTGAATAATAATAATAATAGAACTTAGGTAAGCTCTTGTTCAATCTTCACTGAATATTTTGTCATTTTGCAAATAGTTGGATAATATATCATATATAAATGTTGATTGGTTTATATATTACCGATTCAAGTGCGCGAAATGCTGACTTCAACAACATCGTCTGTCACATATCGAAGTGTATAGAGAGGTCGGCATCGTCGTGTAAAAGTCTTATCTGCAACTGATTTGGTGCTACACAGAAGCAATTGAGGAGTTGAGAAGTAACTCAGAAATACATATTTCTACGACATTCCGGATATTGTAATCCATCTTTTTGATGTTACTGTTCCGTGGTTGATTATTTTAGGATTTGAAACAAAACTTGAGTTTCTTGTTGTATAAATAAATTAATGTTGGTTGTAAGAAAAAGAATGATAGGAAAGCAGTTAATATATGAATGGTTTGATCTGAATGCAGATTTATAGTTATATCAGAATATTGATTGGTGTTATAAGAACTGTTGCTAGTTCTGCACATTAGAAGAATCAATCGAGCACCTGCACCAGTTTTGGTCAAATTGACAGATCCAACAGTGACACTTTGAATGCACATGATATTCTACTGACAATCTGTCTGTCCCATAATAATGACATTATAAGGAAATCTCTAATCTATGAAGCACGGATACATCGAAAATGAGCCAGACGCTAATACGTTGTAAAAATAAATAAATTAAATTTAATCTCAAATGTCAGTGCAGATGTCTGCTGCCGTCACAGACACAAACACGTCTTTTTTCAGAAGTGTCGGTGTTACATCTTAACAAGAGAAGCCTCAAGAAATTAGTTAACATTCTCTACTATAAATTCTAGTATGTAGAAGAAAATTTTAGTGTAAAATAGTGCTATTAATATATCTTGTACAGAAACCTCCACAAGTTAAACAATATTCCAGGAACACTCTTCATTCTTTTTCTTTTTTCTTTTGGAATTTGCAAATTCTCTCTTGATCAAATTTTTTGCCGAGAGACACATAATTGAAAAAAGTATTGGAAGTGTTCACTAGTCCTAAAAGAAAAGAAAGCTAACACTAGACTCCAAAAATTGATAAAAGAACAGAGATACATCTCAAAAGTGAGAGCAACAAACACTCATTACTTAATAAGTAAAACTAATATTTTGTTTGCATTTATTGAAAATTTTAAAAAAATATCAAAATTATCGGATTTTTAAAAAAATTCAGTAGTTCATATTTGACAATTTTTTTTTATACTATCAAAAATTTTAAAATTTCTGATAAATTACAACACTTTTTGAAATTTCTGATAAACTATATCACTTTTTAAAATTTTCGATAGTGTTAAAAAAATTTATTTTTATTTTTAAAACTCATACTTGAATTTTGGTATATTATTGAAAATTTTGAATAATCTATAGGAAATTTCGTTTTTGCCACCCCCAAATTTGTTCATAAGCAATTTGAAAATTAAACAAAAATGAGACGTCATGTTCAACTTGGGAGTAGCAAGTTAAAATCATTTATTAGTTTTAATTTAATGGTTTTTTGGATGAATTGAGACATCTATATAAAGAGATGATACTCCTTACTTAAATATATGCTTGAGGAGATAATTAATAGGCTACATAATTTTTTTAAGCTGAGTCTTTTTGTAAAACTCTCTCCTTATTAGTTGTTCTTATTTACAAGATAAATAGAGTTTTTGGTATGTTTTTCACATTCTAAATAATTGGTTCTTATAAATATTTGAAAGAGTATTTGGGTGAAAATGAGAGGATATATGATTTAGAGGTATCAAACTTGAAATTCACGGATAATAATAAGAAAATGACATTAAACTGTGAGAGTTCAAATGAGATAGTTGTGTACTACTAATTACTTATAATTAATGAATTTCATTTTCCGTGGGCTACAATCCTTCCGACATAGGTGACAATTACACCAAACTCGATTACCAATTCTTTATGTCTTTTACTTGTTATTTGCTTTATTTTTCATTAATTAGTTTGTGGTAATCTTGTCTCACACGTTGTTTCAACATTGTGTGAGATATCTTATTATTGATAAAATAGAATTTCAATTTGCATCTGACTAGACACTCTGTTTTGGTTGAGTTTGTTCCGGAGTATATATTCTATTTAAGATGGACAATACTAAAGAAGAAGGATATGTTAATCGTTCATTAATTCTTGATGGTACTAATTATGACTACCGTAAGACCCATATGATCGTCTTTCTTAGGTCCATGGATAACAAGA